CAGTTTATTTGGTGTTAGAGACTGGACCGTGCAATATCCCGTCAAAGTATGATTTTCAGACGAACACATTAAACTTTTCATTTTTTTCTGCCACGTTTGCATCTCTACTGATGTAGTTTAAGTTAGACGCGGTTTTTCAAAATCAGCGTAAGTTTGGGCTACAAGGCGGATTTTCGAAAGACGGTCAGAATAGTCTAGTTTGAAAAAGCAGCATTCGTTTTGCGTCTCCTGTGTCTTAATCCTTATTTGCGAGTAATTTGAAATGGACTTTTCCGGTCAAGATTACACTGGGATGCGAAAATTTTGACATCCAAAATTGTTTGTCTGTGGACCTAAGAATTCATTACAGGGTGCGTCTCTGATCACGGCATTGGGCATTATCTTAATTTTGAGTTCTCATCCTGTTACTCCATTTTCCCATCTCAAACAGTCGGTCTGAAGTGAATTTTGTACCCAATCTAAATCAGCTTGGGTCTTAACTCATTATGCAATGCATTCTTACAGTGACGCCTTCATCAAACGATTGGATAAGTTAATGAGGATTAGGATTATTGTTCACCACGCAAACTAAAATTATCAGGTCTTCTCGTTTATTCTGACTCAATTTTTGGGCAAAGCAACACATTTTGTCTCAAGTCTGTAATTTTGGTTATGGCTATGTTTGAGACCTCTTCGTCACTACCATCCGTTTTCCACTTGGGGAGCTTCAAAAGAATCTCTTACCTTGCATAAAAATAAGGTTCTGGAAATATGTAGAGTAATGGGGAGGGTATGGCAAATATCTAACTCAGCTTTGTGACCGAGGTTCTTTGTCGGGTCCACATTTGTTCTGGTTCCCTCCCACTTATCACAATGCTAAATTTGTCAGCTAAGCTTCACCACATTTTGGGCAGCAGTTTTACACTGAAAGCGCCTTAATTATCGTTTGTTTAGTGTCGGAGATACTTTGTTTTATTTTGATATTTTCGAAAAAGCAACAAACTCAAGCTGTCATTGCAAATGCATATGGCTGACTCGAGATGCACTTACCTCCAGTGCGGTATATTTTTACTGCTTAAGGTATTTGCTTGATTAGAAATTTTAACGCATTTTGTCAAACTTCGGACCTTCCATTTCAACTGAATGCATTCTGGAAGCAATTAATTAATAACTTCACCCTGTCTATTCTACAAAGGTAATGTGATTTTTCGAGGCTATCTGTCGTTTCATTAGGAAGAGGTATTCTGGTGGATGGTGGGATCAAGCTGCTATATGCCCTTGAATATTGGGGATTTAATCTTACAGTAGTTCAGCAAGATAGGAGGATTTTAAATTGAACAAGGAGAATGTTGTTCACTTGGCTCAATGTTCATACCAATATGATATTTTATGATTTCATGGTTTAACACCTTCGGCTCGTGATCTAATTTCTTACACTTTTGCCTTTTCAGGATAATTTCCGATCACGGTCGTGAGGCCAGCTATCCTTTTCTGGACGAGAGGGTTGTGCATTATCTTGCATCCCTTCCTCTTGAATCCAAAGTAGGTGTCATCGTGTCAGAATTGGCATTGACTTTAAAGTCGTCTTTCATTCCATTGCACCTATTTAAACAACCCGGCTTTCTTCAAAGTTGTCGCGAACTTGGTGCTTAATCTGTCATGTAAAACTAACAGACTGTGCGAGAGACAAAGCGGCTGTTCTTTTTTTACCCACACTTGTGAAAGTGTCATCTAAGAAACTGAGGAAGAAACTTAGTCCAAGTGACTCCAAATTATAGGCTCAATATTTACTCCTTCCCCACCCTATACGAAACACTCATCACGCCGTATTACTTAAATCGTGGGAATCTCCTAGAAAGGAGCAATTTTTTGACCTGATCTGTCGTTTATGACATTACTGATCTAGTTTTTACTCCACCATCCTAGTTTTCGAAAAGTAGTCTAACCAACTTTTCCAATTCTGAAAATGATGCCCTAACTTTGATTAGATTTTTCAATTTTTTTCACTTATCCCGTATTTGCTCCACATTAATTCATTGTAAGCACTTCATGTGCTGATCGGATGCTTCGATAAACTAAAGTGAAACTAATTTTATTCTGATCGGCCCATCATTCTCCATTTTATAACCCTAAATATTGTCCCTTTTACTTTTACGTCTACTTTTCGGGACTGCATTGTTTCAAGCTCAAACCTCTCACAAGTCTATGGGAAAAAGAAATTGTAAATTTACTCAACTCTGGCGTCTTGCAAGTTCACCAGTCTCTGAGGTGTAAAATGGTTGGTTACGTTACTATTCGCTTGACAGGAGGGTGTGATGTCCTAAAGGAATGGTACATGCTCATATCGTTAAAAGCGATGTTATTAGCCGATTTACCTATTAAGCGTGGCACAATTACGCAGGCTTATGTGCTCAAGAAAAATGTAAGCTCGTTTTCTTTTCCCGTTCTAAAATTTAACCGATGTTTTGCGTTGGATTTTTGATTCCCAACATTATATCAAAATCGTCAATCGTTCAATCTGAAAATGTACTTTTTTCTTGCCGTGATGCACATATGAGAAAGTTGTTAACAACTTATTTGGCCTCTAATAAGTGCTTAATTTTTTTAGGACTCTAACTGGATGTCCTGAATCATATACTTTTCTAAATAGTTGGATGACTAAAGAAATTTTTTCCCTACTTTTTTCGAAGTGTTTTTCTTTTGACAATCCAAGGATATAAACAGGGTTTGGAAAGTTTTGCCGCTATAAGATGCGTAATACTCCTATTAAACTTCTGTGTTAACATCCAATCATATCCGCGTTGAATGTGGCTTGCCTCTGGGTAAGCTCTAGCTTCCAAAGTAGCCAATTCATCCGCCCACATTGCTTAATATTTATGCTGACGCTGCTGCCACTAACACTAGTTTCCAGCTGATGATATACCCTTAATTATTTTGAGCATGTAAGGAGAGTAAAGTTGATATATTGTCGTTATCACTTATGATATTGGACTAGTCTTCATTTCTCTACTCACCTGTCTCTCCTCTTGGCTGTCTTAGGCAATAAAGAACGTCGCAAAATGACACTTCGTATGCTGGAACTTTGTTGTGATTATGTGAACATGAAATTCTCTAAATTGCAGTGGATACTATGTAATAGGAGTTACTCATTTGGTTTCTCATCAAATGTCTTTACTTGGAGGAGTTTTTTAGTTTTTTTAAACGTTATTATCTGGTTGCATGGCAATCAGCTACTTCGTAGTGGCATTTTTTTGTTCCTTGTCAGCGTTTGGAGACCTCTTTTTGTTGGTACAAATGTTTTCGCAAGTCAGTTCCGGACGCTTAAGAATGTTCCCGTAGTATCAAGATGGACTGTCTCGATCAGAACGCGTAGCCATCAGAAACGGATTGAAGAGTTTGACTCTTTGAGGCTGATCTCTTCAGGCTTTTTACAAAGCTGTCATCTTCTGAAACCTCTGGATTTACGATGAAAAAGTGATAACGAGTTAGTTTGTTGGTTCATTTGTACCCAACACGCCACCAACAACGTTTCACGAAAATTCCCTTCTTGATTCACGAATTATCTAGCTATTACTTAAAAATACGTAAGTGGAAGTCCCTCTCCCTGTGGTATGCAAATATCAGATTGGAATAAAGTAGTCTTATCTAACTCACGAAGGCCTGTTTACAATTTTATTGTGCTATTTTGTGTCCTATCCACAAAATTTTATGTCGATTTAAAATGGAAAAGGAGTAATCACATCTTCGTGTTTGAAGACCAAACCATTTTTTGCATTGACTGTTATTAGTTATTACCTACCATCTAAGATGTCCTTTGAAAATTAAATTAGCAGTTTTTTCTCGTCTCCATAGTTCATCCACATCGCCAAAACCTCAACGTCTGTATAAGCGGCACAAAGCTTTGTTTTATTTAGTTACTTCACCCTCTCCAATGATTATCGGCTTGGTTACTGCTGCGATCAAAAGGCATTATGAAGGATCCACTTGCTGGTGCATCGATGCAGGTCAAAGCAGGTTGCATGTAAGGGAGAGAAGGTTGAGCGTTTCCTTAGGTCTATAGATGGTGAGATTTGAACTCCCCTCTTAGTGAAACTTGACGTCGTATACTGAAAATGCGGTGTTGTGTTTCATCCTTGCCTTCACACCTGGCCATGGACATCTGCCATTATTACATTCACTTGCATGAATTAGAGATTGCTTCTCCTTTGGCTACCTTCGGCTTGGCTATTAAGAAAGCACTGCAGCCTTCCATAATGGTCGAGTCCGAAAGGTCACTCAGTAATGGAGTTTATCGTCAACTCATGTATTAGTGTTATGCAAATTAATATTTGCAGCTAAGTTTTGAACTGTCCAACTCATTTATTTGAAGCATTTGAATCATTTGGTCTTATCTTGACGGGTTGTTGAAGGGCTTCTACCGCTCTCAGTACGTCAAAGCTCACTTTTATTAATATGGGCTTGGTTTAAAGTTGGGATTCCTCTTGGTCACCGCAGTTCCTCTACATTGCATATAAATTGCTTTCAATTAGTACTGTACGATCAATTTCTCATCCACACCACCAACCAATGCTTTCTGAAGCCATCAGCTGAACTTTCACTAGTCGGTTGTTTTTATGATAACATATGCTTTTAACATTCCATTTCCATTTAACATTTCCATTTAAAAATGGGATCGTTAGGTAACTTCAACAAACGGTATTCTCTTGCGCTCCTGTGTCGAAAACACACTTATTTGCTTATTAAATATATTGAAGTATTCATTTTTGCAAATCCTCATCTTTTTCACATTCGGATACCATCTCTGCAGCGTTGTTAAGCTTCCTATTCCGTCTTTAGATAGTCGTTTCCTTTCAACGTCGGCAAGGCTCGTTTATAGTGTTTGTCTTAGGTCGAAAACTTCCCAACGTACCGACTATTCCACTTTTTGTTCAATTCATTATTTTTTACTTGTAGTTGCATTAGTTTATCACGTAATTTATACAGTTTCATCCCTTTATCACCAGGCAGACCTGACACTTCCTCGTGGGGAGGGCGAAAAACGGCTACTGCGCACTGTGGCTGCGTCCCTAGGCCTACAGGTCGCTGCTCGTTTACCTAAGCGGGCGTTACAATTTGGCTCACGTATTGCCAAGACTGAATCTCTTCATAAAGTGATTGGTGCCGACTCAAACCATCAAGACGCCAAATAAATGGTTATTATTGGCACCACCGCCTTCTTGTGGTGCTTATCTGTCTTTGCTCATTTGCAGCGTAACTGGTATACTGTTTCTTCTAAATATGTGACGTATGAATTGACTCCAAATTTAATGCCTTAACCGAATGCATCGCGCATCATACCAGCACAGCTGTGGGTGTTTTGAGCAATAACAATAACATTACTGGTGAGCGTATGAAGCACCACTTTTATGCGTTTACAATTTACTAGTGCTTCAAAAGAAAATGGTTGGCTAAACCATTCATTTCACCTCCCACATCTCTTTTTCTACCTATTTTAGTCATTAAAACTTATAAATTTACTTTTAGTGATACCTAGCCGTTTGAAGGACTGCGATTCCCAAATTTTATTCAAATTCTAAACTTTGACTACAGCAACGAGACGGCCTTTTCAAATAAAATTCGGAGGCCTTGAATAGCATATTGAATTGCAAACACTGAACCGGAAGATCTGCAGGATATCGGAACTATGGGGAAATTATCATCTTAAATGGAAAATTTAAGATCCATCCCTTTTTTCTAAAGGTGTTACGTCATGAAGGAAAGTCTGTAACTCTAGGAGGCCTGTTTGTATTTGAGTCCCTTCATCCAGTTCTTTAGTCGATCATTTGCAAACATGGGTAACTGGTTACTCAAGGTTACTGTTTATTTCTAGCAGGTGTTCTTTCTACATGGATGCATTTTTTGTATCGAAATGCGCATTTGACAGGAAGATGCGACCGAATCTTTGTGTAGCTTATGGCAAACATCTTGGAGCGGTATTATCTTATTATGGAGCAAACTCAATGCCTTAATCACTCAGTTCTTTCTCATACGACGTACTTTAAAGGGATTGCAGACTCAGTCAAATTGGATTTAAAATAGTTACAACATGCTTGACCACACATTGCCCTCAACTGACTCAAGCATATTCCTGCACATTTTTGATATAAGCATAGGTTAGCTGGTCGCCTTGCCTGGGTTATGCCACACTTTATCTCGATGAAGACATCTGCAAATTGTTCCTTTGCGTGATCGTCAATCTTACCCTATCGTAGCCTCTTCCCTGTTCTAAGGAACTTAAGTCACAAATCATCATACTCTTGCGCGATAAATTGTGCATTTCGCATCGTTAATAGCGTTTTGATTAAGCGTAAGCTGCGCATTTAATTTGTTTAGTGCAAAATGAGCCGCTCATTCGGGTCATTTTGATTGACCCCCAAACAACTTCGTACCGTTTATCCGAACGTTTTCCCTTACAACAATCGGTGGGTATTGCCCATCATCTTATGACAAAAAACTTGCTCGAATGCGCAACTTGTTTAGTGTCTTAGAATCTCATCCTTCAAGTGCTACTCGCAGTGGTGTGAGGGTAGCTGTGAGACACTTCCACCTCATTCGTCGCTCATTATCCAACCTTCTAAATTCGACTATTTATCGGTAGCTGCTCTTACAGACAAATATCCTCCGGCATTAACTGGGAAGTCCTTCTTTCACTTTAGAATAAAAAGGTAATGAGATTAATAATCACGATTAAATTCGTCCATAAAACTGCGAATTAGAGGTAGGAAGCCTAAAGTTAACCAGAATTCTGCTACTGGTTCCAGGTAATGGCCTCCAGTTTCGATTTCATTTACCGTCTCTCTGACTTAATGCTTATTACTCACATGGTACTTAATATCCAGCATTCCACCTTCTAGTAAGTCGACGTAAAGTTTGTTTGGCTGTCTTTCACTAGTACTACATAAAGTAGCAAGCTTATTAACATAGACTTGTGCTTGTAACATCCTAGGATTTCCTATTAGACATTGGAAAGCATAATGCTTGACTGAATACATACATCCAGAGAGGAGGGAGAGAGGCGAAGCATTTGGCACGATCCGACGACCATCCGGTCTGCCCACCAAAGTGAAATAAGGTATCACAAGGCCTCTTGGAAGTCAATAAGGGTAGCTATATTTTCTGGTTTGTAAAAGGCGTCAGGGATGCATTGTCCCCTATAGGAATTATAGTGCCATCGTCGAAAGGGCACTGTTAGAGACGCAGAATCAAAGTGAGAAACGTTGGGTGATGATTGCATGTTTATATGTACTAGTGATTTGAGTAGTTTTATTTACACTATTCCACATTGCAAAGCTGTCTCAAATTACCCACTAACGCTTGGTAAACCGAATGGGTCGGACACCGACGCCCGTTTGGAACGACTCCAGGCTCCAGCAGTCGCCTAGTTGGCACTTAATAACAAATATGTTCTGATCCGTCCATACAAGTTAACAGTGAAGCCAGATGATTCCGTTTGCGATAATTAGCAGGCATTAATGATGTGATTCTAACAATGGACATGAATTTCTTGGAATATGCAGGGAAACAACGTTGCTAAACCACGTTTTTGAAATGCACGCTTCAAGATCATTAATATGGAAATCTTTTCCGTGTCTATGCATGGATAGCCACTTGGAAAATTTCCGCCTTGGTATGCTGTTAAACACCTTGAAGTCACTTTAAATTCAACAACATTCCATGTAGTGCACATTCCGTCCCAGTTGAATAAATTAAACAAAAACGAATCATAAGTTACCATTAGAATGTCATTAGATGAGTGTAGAGACTGCTAACCGCAGTGAAACATAAGTGGTAGCCAAGGTAGAAACCATCTACAGTATAAAATCACCCCTATTTTGCATTATATAAACACCGAAGATCTGGAAATTAGTTTAAATGAACATGATGCTAGGGTTTGAGCGTGTTTGGCTTTTTAACCGTCATGGAAGGAACAGGCTAAGGACATCTTCATTCCGTGGATCCCTATTATAATGGTAAACTCCCAATGCGCGTCATAGTGTCCTGCCAAAATGATTCGGAGAACTTTATTGTTGGTATACTTTTCCGCGTGTTTGAAAGATGGTGAGGAATGGTAACGTAGCGTTACCTATCCGCTAAGAAACGTCGCTCTTCCGATGCTCAGATGATAGACAATCGCCACGACGATCTCCCACAACAACTATCTTCCGAGTGGTCTGAGTGTCCGTACAGCTTGCCATTGCCAGCTAGCAGGGATGAGAGGCTAAAAACGAACCACACATCTTAACGCATACACCTGCTCTCGCAGACTCCATTGTGGATATGCATTACTATATGCAAGTGGTCTTGGCGCCTGTTTGAACCTCCAGAACGTTAAGTTAACCTTAAGCGAGAGGAGGAAATCGACGCCGGGCCCACTCCCCGGTGGACTGATGAACACCTCCAACACTAGCCCAAATTAGCTTCCCCTTACTTTCTGCGTTATTAAATGAAGCGCCTCAACCACCTCATGCACAGTCTGCTGAAAGAAAAAAGGAAACAATAAACAACTTCGTGGTTAGTTGTCCTCGTTGGAATACATACCAGTTGTGTAAAATGTGTTTGGTAAAGAAGGACTAATCCGATTCCAAGATCGTTGAAGTAGGATTTAAGAACCATTCCCAAGACTAGCTTGGTCGTACTACTCGGTGTGCTTCCACCCCCTTTTACCTGTGTCTGTACAAAAATGCTCAATAAATCTACGTAGAAAGATCTCCCACCTAAGAAGGCTGGGATGAAGTTATAACAAGCTTCTTCGGATTTTGCTTTGACCTGTGAACCGAATGCATCCTTCCTTGCATAGTCACCACCATAATTAAGGCTATTCAATTGCATCGTTTATTCTTGCCTTCTTTGGACTGTTATTCCATTACCTCTTGATTGTCCTAAAACAATCCAGTTCCCAACAAGTTTGAATAATCCTACGGATAAGGTCTTCAAGGCTAGAAAATTACGATAGAAATGGAATTCGCTTGTAGTCTATATTAGCTTAAAAAGCAGTTGTGGAATGAACCCAATCAAGTAATCAACTTTTTGGTTTCTCGTAAAAAACGTTCTGAATATTCTCATAGCCGACACGAATTACTAGTGCATGACGGAATATGGAGCAAAGGAAGGTCCCCTCTGACGCGCAGGTGGGCGTTTCGAAGCTTATCTAAGAGCACCTTTGAAATAAGGCACAAGGATTTGATCAGCCTCGTGTAAGCGCAAATCTTTCTTCCCATTTCATAACCTTCATAGCTTTCGAGTTAAAGATTTCAAGCCGCCATCTCCCGTTTTTGAATGTCCACGCACAACTTTGAAATTGTTCAGACCTTGGACGGAAGTCCAGTAAGCAGGACCAAGTCTTCTTTTCGTCAAAGTTTCGTCTGTTTTATGCTCTAATATTTAAGCAGGCAAGGGCCTCCAGGCACATCTTTCACCGATTTGACCATACCATCAAGCTTCTCAAGCAACGTCGCGAACGCACTAGAGCAAAGCGATTTAGAAATCGCCAATCTTCGAAGTTCATACCATAACTGATCGTATAACTCTAAATTCTTACTACCACTCCCATCAGCACTCCTGTTATTCAAGTTGTAATGCCAATGCTGGTAGGCACGAGCACAAGGAAGCGCCTTTCAAGGGTTTATGACCTCCTCTGGGGCACTGCGGATGGAACTCTATTTAGAGCCTCACCATTCTAGGTCGCCAAAATTAGTATACACCCATCTCAATCTCTATTTCGTATTTTGTGAGTTATCCACGAAAGGTTGATGAGTGCCCAAAACGAGTTCTAGAAGTGAGTACCTCTGGTGATGATGGGTATGGAAATCGCAGTCAGTTACTAGCAGTTCAAGTATTTAGAATTTGAGAGCCTTCAACTATAACTGCCAAAGCGCACCAATGATCTGCTACGTCGTCAACTTCATCATTCTATCCTCAAACGAAGTGAATGACGTTTCAAAGAAGTCCATTAAAATGTCCTTTAAATTAAACTGTAAAACGAAGCGTAAAACAGCAAATTAGGAGCCATGGTGTTGCTGGACCAACTCAAGGATACCAATTCAGATTTAAGGCGACTTGTATGAAGGCGAAAATGTCCGCCAGCTCATCAATCTGAAACAGGAAAGAAACGTAGTGATTCTGAGCATGGTTGACATTTATCTATCCTGCAAGGTGTCGGAGGTAGTTGCTACCGAAACCGATGGCCAAATAGAAAAAGCCCGAATGTTCAACTAGTCAAAATCGTGTTTCAACTCAGACACGAGAATTTTGGGTTTCAGCACACAAAATTAAGTGAATAATACTCCCATTCACCATGCGGTTTCATAAGATTCTTCAAAATGGTTAGGAGACTAATCCTATGCAAGAGAATGCACGGCTTGCTTTCCAAACAGTCTTTAAAGCAGCATGGCAATTGGAATGAACTATGTATGCAAAGCGAGAAAAGGACAAAAGGAATAAATTGGACACTTACTATCAAAAAGAAAATATTCCACTCTATGAAGCAATGCTACGCAAAAAGAGATCTCGGCGCGTTTTCATGTAAAGCCTTGAAGTCTGAATCGCATGAAGCATATACGATCCAGAACAGATACATATAATCCTGAATTAACATTGCAATTTATTACATCTCATAGGTCCATTGGAAAGTTACGAGATTTACTACAGTAAGAAGAGTTTAGACTACCTCTACCCCTTCCGCGGCAATATTAACAATATAGAGAACTTTTTCCCAACTTCAATGAACTTTAAGACTTGTGGATTTACAAGCTTCCCAAAATATCGCCGAATAAGGAAAAGTCCAACTGTAAAAAAAATAATGCGCTTGAGTCGCCCTTATAGGGGAAAGGTGATCGGTCAATTAGAACACGAATCCTGTGCTTTAAGAACGCAAGGATCCTTCTCGAGAGTGGGTCCCACCGGATTAGTTGGGAGAGCAAGTGACAATTGATGAAAGGCCTCAAATATTGTGCTAGTTAGACACGCAACTTGCAGTGCGGACAGTCAAGCCTGTCCAAAATCGCCGTACGGTAGACAAGTTGCGCGGATGAAAATTAGCCATGACGGCACTATTCAATTACTACACATCCTATTATTCAAGATCCAGTAGATACAGCGATGGGAATAATAGCTCTAATTTTACAATAACGGACTCAGTGATTTTATAAATCTGTTTTCAACAGAACAATCAAACAAAAAAATCCAAGTGCGCACTTGACAAGTGATAAACAGTGCCAACCTCAGAGTGAAAAAATAAAAGCATATGAATCCAACAAGCTAGTAATCATACAAGTAGCATGACTATAGATTAACTCAAAATTAGTAATGCCTCTATTATCACACGAGGTGACGGCCTAATTGCGATTTCAGGAGTGAAAAAACATAGTGTTAAAGATCGTAGACCTAGCGGCAATACCCTCTCAAGGGATCATCGAGGCAAGCAAATTAATCACAACAACTAAGAGACCGGGGCTGAAGACGGTAGGACCTAATAAAATCGGACATACTCCCAGTAATGCCTTACCATTGGATCGATCTGGACAACAGTTTGCAAACGTTCGAAGACATTTTAATGTAGTATGGCTATCTTTACAAATCGCTGGAAATTAGAGCTGTCGAAGTTGGAAATTACTAATCAAATTGCTGAAAACTCAGAAGAATGGACTGTACCCGTACTAATCTACCTGACGAAGCAGGCAATGGAGATTAAAACATTCACCTCACAGAAGAGTAACGAAAAGTCTCACCTTCTTTGAGGTTGGTTTGCCGCCCCCATGACCACTATTGGTTTCGACACGGAGAAGCAGAGGATTAGTTTGAGAGGGACAAGTGCGCCCAATGACCTCTTGCAGCGTAGCAATGTACTTGAAAGAGTGCAGAGGTGCCACACGATCATCGTGATCGGCAGTGACCACCAACACTGCCGGATACTGTACTCCGGACACATGTGGCTGTCGGATATTGTGCAGTGGTGAGTATCTATGCCCAGTGAGGCGAGAGGAAATGCACAAGAAATGTTACTTTTAAGCCCTGTGGGACTAGTCTCTTTCGTCTGCCTAGGTTATCAAAAAGAACCAGGTAGGGTTCGGTAAAGTAGCTACATCGAAAGTGTTAGAAGTTGCCTTGACATGCGCGTAATCTTAAGGTTGTACCCTTGTACGTGAAATAAAAGACCATGCTATTGCACATAACCACTTTGACGTAAATAAAGGCGTCCACGTCACACTCAATCCAAGGCCTTTAAAAATGTAAACAAGGCTCTCGGCCTCGCAACAACGGCTAAATACATGATTGTATCCTCGACCATCAATCAGTTTCGTATGTAACTTTTATAAAAATTCCAAATATGCGACGAGATAGTCAAGAAAAATCTTCGCTGTGAAATGAAAAGAACCTAAGTGCAACAACTCTTCTGTCACCTAGCCGACGTGACAATGCACATGCCTCCTCTCAAAAGCTGTAAATCACCAAAAATATTCTCACAACCTTACAAACATTAGCGATATCCAATTTCTTCAAGTTTTACATAGCATTTAAAATCAGCAAAAAAACCCGAACACGGACCGCAACCATATAGGCTGACTGAGATCACGAAATCTCAAACAATAAGACGAGAATTTCAGAGAACAATTAAAATGCCTATAAAGTACCATTAAAAATGACGTCCGGTGAAGTTAATTTCAATGAAGGCCCTACTTAATGGCATATATCCCGGTACGTGATTTCAGACACCTTATCTATTGAAATTCATCATAAGTAGATGATGACGCACTTGCAAGGGGATTCAATGGATGATGCCACCAAGTTTTGCACAATTAAGGAGAGGCATTAATTTACGTTCGCTTCTGAGCCAATGTCACGCAAGCCTTCTTTCTCTGATAACAAAATGGTTATAGGTGGACTAAAGCCTGAAAAGAAGCCTGAAATAGGTGACCATATAACAACGGAAGTCTCAGATTTACTCCACTTCAAAGCATGTCAGCACGTTCCAAAGGAAGACTCAGGAGGTCCAAAAGGGTCCAAAAAAGTCCTCTGAGGAAAATGGGATTTTAAATTGTTGCTTACCGGCTTACTCCCTCTAAGCCGTGATGGAGAATGGAACCTTCATCACCAGTAATACCCTATTGGACAGATCTTGCATCTTTTCACTAACAAGATTTATCGGTGCCGTCTGCCCGTCACACACGCTTAGGAAAGCGTCGATGAATTCGAAGCGTAAGCACCTTTATCAGAATCCCTTCATACAACACTCAAGTTTCTTTTACGATCCAGTTTCATATTCTCGTCCCAATTACCTGCGTTTGCGAATGCAACTGAAAGTTCCCAGGAGTCTATCAGTTGTACCATTTTCTAACAAATAAGTACAAGATCAATTAGTGCTCCCGATCCACTCTTATACAAAGACTGGTGCATGAGATCGAAATTGCCTTTACCTTTTCGAAAATGTCAACCTCATAGGCACCAACTGTACACATGCTGCCTCTGCCATTTCTAAAAAACCCGAAACAAGAAAAACCTGGAACTCTCTCAACCCTACCAAATTCCAGATTCACTTTACTACACAACTCTTGAGTGTACTTAAAGGTCCATTTTTTTCATCAATTTCGTGACATGTGATTGGGCTTGAATAAACAAGAGGACTTTAAAGATAAAGATTTCCATGAGGCAGATTAAATCCATATAGTGCTCGGAAATGGGTGCGGAACGCCACTGTTCCAAGTAATCTAGAGGAAAGGAGGGATAGCAAGGCTGCAAGGAAGTTGTTAGCCTGAACGAAAAAACTCACGTCATGAGGTAACGAAAGACCTCCTCTTTTGAAACATCTCCATAATCTGACTGCCAGGCATGACCAATAGTGAACCGATGAAAACGCAACATATCGGTCACCGGCACCAGAGATATCGTGGCACCGAAGAGGTCTGGGCGCTGATTGGTGCAGACGCTCACCAGCAAACCGCCATTGCTGCCACCCTCTATCACGAGCCTATAAATCCGTCGGGAAAAAAGGATTTCCAATATATAGTAAGTATACCAAACCAGCAAGTATTAAAGTTCCAACTATAAGCCCAACACGAAACGGGTACCGCTCAAAACCGACAACATAGGTATTAAGCAAAGTCCATCCATGCCGGCAATGAAAGTTGGAAAAGACCCTAGATACAATTTATCGAACCAACTGCAACCCTTAGAGGTTAAGAAGCTCATTTTGTCCCTGTTTAGGAGAGGTCGAAACAACATTGAACCGAGACACACGGGATTCCATGATTGCCATTCGGATGTCCATCACTTCCAGCTCACCGTCAACGCACTTTGTATGCTTCCCTTGGCCTCAGTAAAATCTCTATCCAAACTGCTGGCATTGGTGCAGCAATTGACTTACAATTAAATTAGAACGAATGGATACCCAGTAAGTATTGCGTCGCGTTCAAAACTGAGGCGATGGAACCTCGAGATTATAAATGCTCGAACTCGAACTGATAATACTTAAAACATCAGCTCTCGGGCAATACTTGGACATGATGAGATGCAGCAACTTACTTTCGTGGTTTTGTGTAGTTGTTGTTCACCAAGAATTCGGCTGCGGCGATAAAATCATCATAGCAGTTCTGCTTATTCAGCATTTTTCCACCTGTATGCCACTTCTCGCCGTATTCACTTCAAAAGTGAGAAAAGGAGGAACATTCAGCCGTGCTTCTTGTTATCGAGGGAATAAGTGGTACCTAAGATGTCGGTGATTTGTGGATACGAAATTTCATGACAAGGGGTACCAATATCAGTAACTATTGCAAAACCAAGGTTAGAATACCAATAAAGCGCTGCTCATGCACTATGAACATCGCACATATTACACACAAAGCTGCTCTGACAGTGGTGAGCAATGAGGGTGAGCTGAATTAGGGAGCGCCTATTTTAGAGGTGGTAAGGTGGAAGTGTGCAAGAATTCCGATGGCAAATCCCCAAACCACTTATGTGTAACGGAAACAAACAGACACAAGAGGATGCACAACGAAACGCGCACAAATAAACCACCTCGAATAAAAAGCAGTTTGTGCAGTCCTTAAGGCCATAATTTGGAGGCAACAAAACGGCATGACTAGTGGTAGCGAATAAGACACCGTTTCCAACCTTTTAAAGGAAAGTTAAAAATATTAAGTATTACTCACTACCACATTCATGCCGATTAACCACGCCTATCGTCGAGCGTGACCAACGTGACTGTACGCACATTTATTTATTTTTGCCCTCTAAGCTAGTGAGCCTAAGCTGCTGGTAAATCCGAAGCTAAAGTCAACCCGTGCCAAACTGCTTTTCCAGAAAACCAAAGTCATACAACTGCTAGTTTAGCACCATTTGTTGCCCTAGTGGACGCAAGCACAATCAACTTCGTCTCAAGTTGGGTGGGCCGAGAGATCGTTGTATTTCCATAAACAAATTCCGATGCACATACATTCTGATATGACTACATTGAAACTCAAGTCCTGAAAAGAAATCTCTCTTAAAAACAATCTGTCCCCATGAAAGAGGTAATGGCATTAAGGATGGTTGGTGTTCACTCCAACAAAGTAAGTAATAGCATTTGGTAAAGTCGATTCAGCTGAGCTAATAGTCCGCTCATTATAATAATCTTCTTAGAGGATTCGCAAACACTCGTGAATGAATACTTTACCCACATCCCACTAATAAATAGTCCCGAAAAGGAAGGCAAGCATAATGAAAATGTACTACTAAGTAAACAGACCAGAAACAACCTAAACCACAATTACTGATATGAATAGCGATGACGTGACTCATGAAAATCATGATTGTAACATTTGCAGTCAAATTTCGACCCCATAGGATGGGATTCACAACATTCCTACATGCATAATTTATACGAGCATTTCATCAACATTGAATTCGCATAAACTCATGTCCGACCACTTTTCGAGAAGTCTAATCGGCACTAAAACCTTTGAAAAGAAGTAGGCTTACCCTCCACCCCTAATGTTTGCGATGGCAGCGACACCATTGAAGTTCTGCAGGAACATGGAGTATGTAAGACTGTATGAGGGATTCAATGAGATTCTAAACCCTCCATAACCGTAGAGAAGACACGGTGCAGAACCGTCCGCCACGAAGTCCTTTAATAGTATACAGAGTAAGCACTTTTACACTGACCACATTAAGTCGGGTTCGGATGACGAATGTTCTAGGTGCGCCAAATCACGGAACAGTTCTACCTTTCTGATGTAGGCATAACAGCAAATTACCTTTCTATGTAAGATAAACATGGGCACTCGAGTTCCATCCTTGCTGGAATAGAAGATCTGTTTCACTTCAAAACTGGACAAATCCAAACCTTTTACGTTGTTTCGGAAAACAACCTGATAGGGAATTATAAAAAGAAGTATACTAAGAAAGTGTGTTACGATGCCAAAATAAGAGAATAATACACAAAGTACGGAGGAGTTGTCCCCAGTACAGTGGAAGGTAAACCCACTTGGGAGGGTTAAGGAGCTCCTAGACGTCTAGAATAAATGATGTTCACATGTCCAATGACCGAACATTAAACGAACACCTAAGATCGTCGAATAATTTGGATCTAACGAAAACAAGTTTGAAGTGTACAACAAACTAATGAGGAGTAAGAACACTGTTTAAGTCTCAGTGTATTCGATCTGGCAAACCACGACATGCAAATTGACAAAAGAATTCCTTTTGGGAAAGTGCCATAACAATCCGGATAAAAATCAGAAAAAATGAACAGAAACTGTCATGCGACCACAATTTACCAATTCATTTTAAGACCATGGGGAAAAATGTTTGCCCAAAGGGGCTTTAACAACTTCAGTGGCTTCTGAAGGATCCAGATACTACTGATGGAAAAGTCATAGAAATGTCAAGTCTAACACTAGTGTCAAACCACAGAACAAAAAAACGCCTCTCAGAGCATATTGTAGTGGCATTTTAAGGGACTGAGGCATACCGTGTACGCGTTCGCAATGTTTTAACGTAAAATTTTTGAGTTTACCTCTGGTTTCGCATTGACTTTGGTCAGATCGTAAGAATAGATAATACCGGGCGTGAGAAATGAAACAAATTGATAGAAGATCTAAAAGTAAAAAGGGGTTCATTGGCTTTGCTCGACATCAATGCATACCGCTTCCAGATGGCACCAGTTCCAAGAATTCTAAGGTGACCTTTTCTCAACTTAAAAAGGGCTTCTGATTGCAAGCTAGCAATTCCATTCATGCATGTATTTACCTATTAAACAAACCTAAATTAATAATAGGTAATGTCACGGAAAATACGGTTTGGAAATGCAGTTATTTAAGGAGAGCACAACAAAATAACTTGCCATTGTGTCCTCTTTCCTTCCCGAAAATGATGCTATGGAACCAACATCAGTGGGAATGTCGCGTACTTTCGAACCGGTGTCTAATGAATGCACTGAAAGGTGGTGCTGTGGAAGAAATTTATAGTTGAGATTCGACCAAAACAAAAAATTTTTGCTTCAATTTGGTTAATCTTTTCTCAGAAATGACAATAATGACCGAAATTTCCACAAGGATAATATCTCGAAAATGCCTGACTCACCTAAACTTCACCATGAAAATGAACTTAAAACAGAAAAAAATGAACCAAAGGGCCTTTCGAAAGCTTTAATCTTTGATAATATTGAATATCTGCAAGCAGTTGAACCACTAATAATGAGAGACCGCAGAAGATTAGCAATGCATTCCATTGGGAAACGTGTTAAACGGATTATACCCTACACTTGGCTTTAGCCACCTCCTAAATCTTAAGGCTATGACGGCCTAAATGAAGGCTCAAGCCCAATGCTTTTCTTGTAAATTGCATAAGTGAGAACCTTATCAATGGCTCCAGGATACATGGAGAGAGAGAGGGGATGACTCAGCAATATTGCGATTTTCTGCGCTACCCACCCCAACCAACCTAAAATTACGCAATTAGGTTGACGACATAAAAATGACTTGAGGTCAAGTTGATACCGTTTTGCAGTTTAAGGAGCGAAGGTGATGAACCGAAGGCAAATAACAAGCGATGAAAGTGGTAAGAGGCGAAGAAATAATATAAGGCGTTCAACCAAAGTCGCCGCACGTTTTTAAACTCAAGACACAATAGAAATCCACAATTCAGTGGTAAGTGAGTTCAATGCAAAATGCTTGCCTTGAAAAGAAATTCTTGGAATCAAATCTGAGAAGACACAAATAAGGATACGCCGAGTTCAAGACCGAATAATCGCAATTGTTAATAATGATTTGATTGGCAGGCAGTATACTTACACAAACATCCTTCATATAGCAAACGACCAGGTCCTTCTGATTGACACAAGCCGCCCAATCAAGAAGGCGATGTTCATCGTGAGGGATAAGGTCAACCCATTTCTCCTAAAATTTGCACACACGAAACCGAAGTGGAAACCCCGATATGACCATGTAACCGCGTGCATTTACACTACCCTTCGCTTCAATAAAAACTCCCGCATTTGTGTTATTCTCCGAATGAAATTCACTTCACGATGCGTGGCTTTCCAATGGTTTAAACAAAGTAATTTGGTGGTTTAAGAAGCGACCTGCAACTATTACAGCTGTTTCTGAAACATGATAGTTCAAGAGCGACGTGACTCAATGCGTTAGTTCGAACGCGCATTGTGTATGAAAAAGGATCCCAACCAAATTATCATCTTGAACGGATGTGCAGAAGAGATGCGCCTCTCGCAAAGTGCATAATAAGTACCTAATCAATTCCCCAGTGGTAACAGGATCACTTAATTGCACCCCTACACCCATCGCTTGCACCGACAGTCTATCGTACATATCACATACGGTTTGTATGTAAACTTCATTCCATAAATAATAGGCTATTTTGCTAAAATAAACTCACGCGACTGAGATCATCCAAATCGATTTTGATAAGCTTGAACATGGGAGCGTTAAGGTCGGTCTGAATGACAACCTTGCGCCCATCATTAGTTATGTAGTCGAAGGCCGCCTCGAACTTTTCCAAAATGGGCGTCAACTCCAACTTGCCTGGAGAACATCGGAGAACATTCAAACCCACAAGCAACAGAAAGAATGAAGAAGAAAACTAACCAGCAATGTCGTAATTGGTCTTCTCCAGGTCTGTAAAGTAGAGAAGGTTGTTACACTCACAACCAGCATGCACTGAGACGAAGACGTATCGACCGCACTCGCTGACGTCAGCAGAACTAGTTGATGAAGGAGTCAGCTATTAACAAGAGATAATAAGAACTGGGCTAGAATAACTGCCACTCACCTCATTAACTTGGGATTGTCCGGCCACTCCACACAGAGAACATCTTTCATCTGTGCTTGCCCTAAGCGGTGGTACATGAGCTTCTGATTTTCGTTGGAATCGGTCTCCGTTCCGTCAGCAGTGGGAGCTGCATCAGGGTAACACTGGAAGTGGAATCGAATCGGTTAGAAGACAGTTATTCTAGTGTTGTCACCATGTAGTAGGACCGTCATGTGCTAATAAGACCGATTTTCATCGTTATTGGCAACTCCATAACTAAAAATCGCCATCATTTTGAAGAATTCACTACATAACCACAGTGGCGCAAAGGGTTCTAAACATTAAAGCAATGAATTCGGTGAGGATGTCACAACGACGGTAAGTCCGTCGGCAACAGGAAAACTCTATTCAAATCAAACAACTCTTAATGCCGGTAGTAAAATGCGTTAGGAATGTAAATCGGAACCAAAACGAATGCCAATGTAGTGAAGAAGATAGCTATGAAGGGAAGTTTTACAAGACACGCAAAGGCCTTATTCGTGCTTGGCATTTGAAAAGACCTCACCTCATTGAATAGGATGATAAGGATAGTATCTGTACCTTCAGAGTGCTTCCCATTTTTTTGTTTACTATACTTGTTGCAAAGCATCCTTACCTTGCGCTTTAGCATTAGAAACATGGAATAAACCTTAAAACAGTACAACAACGAAATCATAACCATCAGCATTTTGCCAAGTGAGTAAGCATGGCTGAATTCTGTTACCTAGCCTGATCTGATAGCATTTCGGCGCCATGTCCTAGAAACCAATACCTTGAAACAAAGAAAATTCCAAATAAGCAAAAATTTGCCACCAGAGCGTAACAAATCACCACTACCATTCAGTATACCTACGCCAAAACAAATCACCGAAGAGGAACGAAAAATTAAACCACTTAGAGCCTCCTACTGCTTACACCGTAGAAAAAGCCCTTGTTGTCGACTGTCCACCTGATATGAGGGAATTTAGCCCGTTCTACCTTGTCTTCCAGGTCCTCACCAGTAGCCACTTTTCTCACCTAAATATAGAACAAACAAATAGACAAACTTTGAAACGTGGTAGGCAGAAGATAGCCATGGTCAGAGAACTGCTATAACTTACACGAATTGTAACCCAGTCAGAACCAGCATTACTCAAACCATAAGCGAAATATTCACCGTCCTTGGAGAATGCGTAAGTGTTGAGAGAAACTAAGCCATCTTCAGAGAGTGCATTCGGATCAAAAAATACCGAAGGATTCACTTTTAAGTCATCTGTAACGTAAATGACACTGAAAATGAGGGAATGAGCGCGGGAGCACAAAGCATACGATTGATTTTGCAGACCGCTGTTATGAAAGAAGAAGTATCTGTGACCACGTTTTAAAACGTATTGATATTTCTCATAGTTCCAAAATTCGGTAATCCTACGCGACAATAAGAATTAGACTAATATCACTTGGATCGAATTTGTTCTCTGTAAGAACAGGAATTGAGGTACAGGTTTGTGATAGCATTTTCCGCGTCCACAAATGCCTTAGTTTGGACGGAATCGGGACTTTCCAACCATCGATAAGGGTCAGGAACCTATTGGGGAGATAATACCCGAAGCCGTTAAGTACGCATAGCAAGTAAAACACTCGCATTTTCAAATAAGTTAGAGCAGCGGGTGGATTACAAATAGGTTTAGCACAATAATGCCAAACGCACCTAAATACCGTCGAGATACGAATTTTGAAAATCGTAATATATCGAGAGACATCAGGTGAACCACAAAGCATGTAATAATAACCAAATAATAACACTTGACTAAACGCGAGTGAACACAATTGCATCAAAGAAACTACCTACCTTTGAGCCGAAGAAGTCGTCGACTACAGCTTCGTCCCTCTGAAAAACAGGATAAGCCTCGACCATAATTACAAAATCCAAACAGCGCCAACGCGACAACAGTTAACAAAACAAATGGAAGCATGTCGCGACCTTGAGATACATGGAATTTATGCACAATAAAAAGCCAATGAAAGTCGTTTGATTACACACATTCATGCAACGAAATTCATGAAGGATAAAAGATTCGGGTATAGAAATGTCATTGCTCATCGTCTTACCACGACCTCAAATAAACATAGAAGAACAAATACTTTTGACGCCCCGTTATCGAAAAATAAAGCCCAATATTGTAGCTTCTCGAGAATTTCCGCCAGGTATAAAAAAGGCATCAAGTGGAGCCGAATACATGTATTCCAGGGAGAGCAGGTCAAGTCCACTTGTACAAGGACTAGGCGAATCTTAAAGTTAACGCCAGACACCAAATGGCCAGATAAACAAAGTATTTGCGCTGTAATGCTTTGCCTATGTGACAGTCTGACGTGTGGCAGTCACTTTAAGGTTTGTCTGTCCCTTGTACACGTGGGCTGGCCTTTGAGCCAGTCCCATCTGTCCTGTCTTCAGAATACATGTTTCCAGCCTCACTTACGGACATCTTTTACCCTATGGGACGACCTCTATCCCTAGCACGTACCGGTTTTTGCATGTATCTACGGTTGATAGGGGGCGCATTACCTTGGTGATGGGAGAATCCCTAAATTCTTCATAACGAAAGGATTTAGAGGGCCGTCTGCATTTGGTTTCACCTTATTCCCGTGTTCCACAGGCAAGCTATTAACAACTGAAGCGACACCGCCGTGATCTATCGGGAAAAGTTTCGTGTCGGCGTTTCCCACACGAAATCCGTGTTTAGGTGCGGTTCTCCTTGTATACGGGACCAGAGTTTCACCGTCTAGTCCTGGAAGTAATTGATGATAAACAGGTCTATGCGGCCCCGAATCTGGTTCTCGGACCGAACGTAACTCCAGATCCAGTTGAAGCTGCCGAAAAGACCAGGTACGGGTCCTCAGTCTCATGCCATCTGTCGAGTGGCGTGGTTGGCTCGTGTGTGTTGTGATGGCTGGGGCGTGAGGTATGCCAAGGGGAACGCCGAGGACGTCGCTCAAAAGAAGAGGGGCAGTGCAATGCTTATTTTAAGTGACCATGCTATGTTTGGCGGTCACTTGAGGATTTGTCTGGTCATTGTACACATGGGCTGGCCTTCGAGCCATGCCCAGGTCTATTTGTCCTGTCGTCTTCGGGATACATGTATCCAGCTGCACTTACTGGCACCTTATGTCGGCTAGGGAGTCTCGCGACGCTACACCGAGACCTCCCAACTGTTGGAAGAGAGTATTAAGTGGAGGTGAGTGCATATATCGCAAGGGAAGCGAATGGATTAAGCCCGACCTTAGTCCGAAGGCCAGTCCAGGCCTACAAGGCCAGTCAAATCTTTAAGTAACCGCCAAACATCTTGTGATCACATAAACAATGCATTACAAATAGGCTTGAACATAGGTAAAAACAACCATTTATTTAAATATATACAAAATCATGAGTGGCTTCTGCTTTGTGCTGCACGACTCACATTATAGTGCATATTTGAAGAAAAAAGTAGAATTCCTATGTCTGTCACCAAAAAATTAATGCTTTTAAATTGTGTTGCATTTGTAGCGTCCTAAGGCATCCCAATAAGAGGAAGAACGCATCACTTTAAGCAGCATGCATGCATTTTAAGCGAAGAAGGATAGTTGCTTGACATGGCTCGAAGGCCAGCTCACGCGTACAAGGACTAAACAAATAAGAAAGTAACCGCCAAATTATTGCAACCATATGCAAAGCTAAAGGGCTTGTATTTAGGGAGAAGTTAATGAGGTCACGCAGCACGGGATGTTACATTGCTCCTCTAGTTTGTTAGGCCAAGTATCGGTGAACCTATGAGCCTAGCTTCATCGACAGCTCTGACAAAGCATTCGGTGCTGTGAGGAAACACCCACAGGTCATTCATGCCAGTGAGGTGCTCCCATAATACTAATTGCATGTGCTTCACTCTCTCAACAGCTATTGTACAACAGAATCTCTTTATTGGCAGAGTTATTCGTAAAATACTGTGGTCGAGGCCCTCGCGCTCAGGGCAATGAGAACCTTCAGTGGACACAGTTTCAACGTTTAAACTTCTTAACATTTCTTCCACGATTTCATTCGCTCCGGAGTGCATGTTAAATGGGGCAAAATGGAGAAATTAATTTTTTTTTTGAGTAATTGTGCTGGTTCTTTCTAAACTTAGCGCCTTTGTGTGCAACAATTCTAGCGCCTACCGCTTCAACTTTTGCCATACACTGCCGTCTTTTGAAGCTCGTATATGAAGAACATGCTCTTGAGTACTCACCCATGGTGCCCTGAATCTCCTTCCCAAATTTTTGTGCAGATACTTGTTGCACTTTTTTCTAGCTCCAAAATTAATTGCATTCTTCCTGAACTCCAAAATCTATGTCTGATTGGAAGTTAAAGGATCCAAATTTGAGCGAAAAGAGGTGATGCGCGTTGAACCTTACACTGATATCTTTCTTCAGGTCTTCCTTGAGGCACAGAATATACTCGAGGACGATATATCTTTTCTCTTCCTCGTTAGGAAGGAGGAAGCCCTTATTATATGACTCCTGAGCATCCGTAAAAGTGGGAAACCAGTACGCTAGCTGGGAGCGTCCCTTATCGTTCGTCGAACATGAAGAGTCGGATGCGTTTAGACCGTTTTTAATACCCTGTTTTGCGCACGCTGTGGCATAAGACAGGGTGTCGTGATTTGCAGTAACTAATATAGTAAGCTCGACCTTGTGCTTCCTTCACACGGTGAGTTCGGACTTTAAAAGTCAATAATGGCACAGATCAAACAAACTTTTATGAGCTTTGAGGGCAGCTCGAAGGTAATACACTAAGGACATCGCATGTTCTGCCTAGCAATATTCAAAGCTAGGATGGAAACGGCTACAGGGTGGCATCACTATGGTACTTTGTTTATGTGACCACCTGTGTGACTGGCGGTTACTCTGATTATCATGTTACACTCGTACGGGTGGGCTGGCCTTGAAGCCAAGCCAAAGTCCAATCTCTACCTTTTCTCTTTAGATGTACGAATTCAGCCCCATTGGCTGCCTCCTTTTTCTTGGTGGGCATATCCTGTTAAAAATGTTCATGTAAAGCATTTCAGTATCACATTGTCTTCGGTATGAAACCGTAGCAGTGTGTGAAGGGATGTAATTAATAGAATCGCCTGATGAATATTGCATTTAAACAATTGAAAATGAGCTTTTCCCTATTTTGAGATCAATGCTAAGCTGGAAAACTTGGAATTTATTTTCCGTTATCAGATGCTATTGCTTTTGTTTCTAACTCTGCTGCCTCGACTATTTGTGATAAAACGGCGTTCACCCTGTTTCCGCCGTGTGGAATGGCATCCGGGTCAGGGCGTAGCCACATTCGCCATTTCCCCCTGTATATAAGCCTTCAGCCATGCCTCATGCTTCCCACCACCGAATGAGAAGTCTCAAGACATTGTGGTGACGTTTCGTCATGACTTGACCAAGAGGAGTAAATACCGATCTCACCAAGTTTGTTTTCCTGTCGGAGTAGATCGAAAGAGGAAGTTTAACTTAAGGTTATGGTCTATCTACTCAAACTCAAACATGTTAAAAGAATTTCCTCCCCTCTGCTCCATCTACTGTCTAAAACCATGAGACGATTGTCCCACGATCATTAACGTGTTGGTTTTCAGAGTCGAAAACGGTTTGATGCTTTTTTGACTCCATAACTTTCAAATGTTTATTAGTAGATTTGAGAAGTCTTCTTATTCATTCGCAGCCGATCTCTCAAAATAAGTCTCAAAGCGGGGAAAATTAAAATGCATTTTTATTTGTTTCAACATAAATTATAAAAGTTTTGAGGGATCGAAAATGAAGTCCCTGATATTTTGTTTTACCTCGTCAGGGAAACTTGGTAATGAGCCCTAAACGATCTTTGCCGCTGAACGGGAAGATCAAAACACTTGTTACTCGTTCATCCCAATAGTTGGTGGACTTTCGCGATTAGTGTGATCAGCAATACCTCTTAGATGGCGACTGGTATTTGGCGTCGTTCTAACTTCCCCAATCAGGACATTTTATAACGTTGCAATCTGTATAGAACACGCCACCTACATTTTACTGGCCTTTCATGGCAATGAAATTCACTGGAAGATGTAATGTCAGATTTGATCGCTATTTCTAATGAATGCAGTGGAGTTATTTGTCTTTGTGATTTGGGAATCGGCTTCAACCAGTCTAGGTAAACAAATTAATGAGCTCGGCGTCGGTTTGAAAAAAGTTTTGAATCTACATTACTCTATCCGTCCACGTATTCATTTCCAAAGACAAACTCCAATTGTGCATATTACGACGGGTAGTATTTCCTTCCGTACCGCTTAATCTATGGTGTCCATCATATAATCTTACCTCGATCGAACGTGGTAGGATTTTTTTCTCTCCTCGATTAACATCCAATTTCAAATTTTTTCTGCCAATGTTGAGTATGTAATGATTACTGAAGTACTTTGTAGGATTAGGTAAAAAAACTTGACTGAAGTTGAGTTCATAAAAAGGCTCTTACTTAAGCTAACTCTAAGCAAGTGAAACGAGGACAATCTGGAGAAGTGGTCAAAAGGAGAGCACCTTCCAGAAATTGCTTTTAAGATACCTTTGATTAAAAATCAACAAGTTCTTTATTAATAAATAATAATCAAAATCTATGATTTAGCGTTTTGATGAGACATTTGCAATTGAGGACAATAAGATTACTCTCTTTGTGCCACACTGGCTTCCACAAGTTCCATCGAAATATCTTGGTGGTTACTGCCTTCACCTTCGCACTCGTCAGCACTGTCTTCCTGTTTGTCGTTCCACTTTGTGCGCGGCACAGCAACGCTGATACTGTTGAGACGCTTCGCCGGAACTCGAAGCTGTTCACGACAAAGGTGAGCCACTATTCCTGCCCCAAAGGCATCGCCCATCACGTTGATAGAGGTACGAATTCGATCTCTGAGTACAAGGCATCAATAGCCTACTTAAATACTTGCAAGTAGGGGATTCCATTGCTTAGCAATAGTTCGTGCTCCCTTTTACGAGTGAGTATTAAAGCAGGAGGTTAAGGTTTGACATTACTGACCCCCAAAGAAGTCATTAAATGGTTCTCTTTATAAGACTTGCATGAGGCGAAACTTTTCTCTTTCCTATCCTCTCTATCTACGAATAAAATACAACCATTTGGAATAAAAGAACCACCACGAGCTTATCGTCCGAATGATTTAGCATAATTTGTCGTACCTACCTAAATGGCATCATTTTTAAGGTACACTACCACTAGAAAATATTCAATGGTCACCAAATACTGCTGTGGAACAAAATGTCCTTAATTGTAACATTTACGGTTCCTTCAGTAAATGCGAATTTTGAATTCATATGATTGTTTTTAAAGACCCTAAAGGTGCAAGAAACTAACAGCATCCAGTCAACAGCAAAGATGAGGGCAATGTCGTTGATTGGGAGACCAACGGAAGTAAGCACCATCACCATAGTAACCAGGCCGGCGCTTGGCACCGCAGCAGCTCCGATCGCTGCCAATGTGGCGGTTATACTAAAAGAGGACACTGAAGCTTAAAGTCTGTACGTCCAACTAATTACTACCGCGATTAATTTGTCATATATTTGCCTCCAATCCATGACTCTAATGTAGCTATCTTCCAACTATCTGCACTTATTAAAAAAGCATATTTGAACCACATGACTGCAAGTGTGATGAATAAATAATTTGTGGACTAATTGTGTCTAGCTGAATTGAAGATCTAAGGCTTGCAAACATCAAAACCATCACACAAATTTAAAGCAGAAACACTGAGTTGTGTGCGTATATTTTAACAATGTCAGTTATGCTCTCCTCACATTGAAGAAATTTAAACGAATGCTCTAAAACACACCTAACAGTGACGAGCTGACCGATGGAGAGAGCGTATTCATTAATCTGCGCAATAAAAATGCAAGCAACGGCCTCGTAGAGAGCGGTACCGTCCATGTTAACTGTAGCACCAATTGGAAGAACAAAGCGAGTCACTCGGGCGTCTATGCCCAAGTTCTCTTCAAGACATCTAGAAGAAACATTGTGCATTATTCTAGGCACATTACACCAAAAATAAGTTCGGTCACCCGTTCATGCTCCAAAGTGCTTGTAACAAGCCGTCGGAGGTGGATTGGCAGCAACCACCACACACAGCATATAAACAATCATAAAAAGAATTAAAAAACACTGTTTGTGAAGGTCATGCTAAATTCTACAGCCCTGCTTTGGTAATGTTCATATTTCGGTGACGACGCCGGTGATTCAGTTAAGTTTACATTAAAAGAGTAAGAGATTTGTCAAATATTTCTCCCTAGACAACTTCCGCACCGTGAAAGAAAATCCTCATTTAGTACACGTGTGATAGTCACATTTGGGATGAAATTTGAAAGTGATTTGGGCACTGTTGCAATGGAACATCCTATCACCTTATAAGATCAGCGTAAAACTGAAAAGATTTGTTCCCAATGCACAAGAAAGACTGTAGAATATAATTGTGGGTTGAAAGGAAGCAAAGGCAAACAGTCTTTGTTTCTGATACCAGACCCTACCTATGCAGAAAACTCATAATGTTGCTTGATTACGCAATGGTTAATAGTGTATAGCAAACGATTCGACAAGCCCTATTTTGCTGAGTGATGAAATAACTTCTGTTGTTATTGATATACGGCATCAAAATTAGATAAGCAAGAATATTGGACATTGGTTCTCCTTCCTAAGTAACCTTTTTTGTTGCTTAATGAAAAAAGTTTTACTAATGTGAAGTATAGAGAAGGAGAGTTTCCTTTGAGGCACTAACAAAAATCGAAACCGGACCCACTTGAATGTAACGGGAAGAGTAGCCGAGCTGGACCCCGTTCCAAGAGCCATAAAGAAGGCCTGGAAAAGTCCTCGCATATAGAGGAGGGGATTTTTGCGACAAATGATGAAGTACATCAGCATAAGAGTGAGGAAGAGGTGAATTGCAAGACCGGAAATCACTGTCAGCATGTAGAGACCCAAGCCAGTGACAGTGCTCATTAAATCATCTATGGCAATTATTTGACCAATAATGAGGAAGATAATACCGATTGGAGCGTACCTGTGTTGAAAAGGAATAAAAACGTTCTTTTCAAGTGAACAGACAAACCTCATGGATGATGCGGTTCTAGCTGCAAAGTGAATTCCATTGTGATAGAAGACAGTGTAAAGAGCTTCAATTTATCGTGGCCACCATTTGTTAAATTTACCTACACAGGCTTTTACAATAATAAGTATGCATATTTGAGAATAAAAGATAGTAGTATTATGGCAGTAAAACCACAGCCATTTCAGGACCATGCAGTTCATCTTAAAGCGAATTTCAATTGCAAGACGTCAAAATAAACGAGAGTAAATAGCATGAAGCACTAATTGGTATACTTTTGTGCTACTTTTTTGTTTGCATGAAACAAGCTTTGTACAAATGCGAAAATAAGCGTACTGATAACTAAAGAGTTTTTTAGAAAATCGCTTTAAAAGTATAAAAACGGTTGGATGTACTAAAAAGCGAGCATCACTGAAATCGGGTCTGACCGGTTTATGTGGGTAATGGATACTCTCCCTAGCCTCGATACATTTTAAGGGACAAATTTTTGTCGGCTTACCACATAATGACACGGACAAGACGCATAATGATTTCATTCATGATAATGAAGAAGTCTAGCATAAGACGACCTTGCTTTCCCATACTGGCGATACCGAGACCAAAAGCTACTGAGAAGGTGACCAAACCTACAATAGCCACGTCGATGGACTATTAGGATTAAGAAATTCTCCTCTTCGCAATTTCTTCCTTAACAATTTCCCAACAGAAGTGGTATAACACCCGTCTAGAATTTTCTCTCATGAGGTTTCAAACTGCAAGACCGGCTCATCTCTAGCCCAATGCGGTAGTTTGCGTTTCGACATTATAGACGCCCTGTATCTCTAACACCTTCAACTTTGAACAGTAAGTTGAGCGGATAAAAAGTTGACTTACCGAGCACATTAGTGTTGTCAATAAAAGTTGCTTTTGCGATTTCCTCCACAACTTCTTTCACCACCGTTGTATTTCCCTTTAAAAAAAGACATCGAAACTGCTTTTTCTTGGTGAAGAAAATGGGCATCGTTTGTGGCGAAGGATATAATAGCAGTAGTGTTTACACTTTGATTACTTTGTTTGTCTTGGAAAAGATTATTCGTTACAATGATGTTGTTTAAATCACTACTTGCTCATTTGATAAACATTGTTGGAGGGGTAAGAAAGATGTTTACAGGTACTTGCCTCATGCACCTTCATTTGCACAGTTACATTCTTCATTTGACTTAAAACTTGTTTTGTACAGGCTTGAATGACATTCTCCGGGAACATATTCCTATAGTGGATCAAAAAGTGCTTTCAAGCATCCCTACATCCGCTCATTTACATTTTCACTAATGAAAGTACCCGAACTGTTAGGTAGATCATTATCTTATTGAAGGGTCTAGTCGCTTTTAAAACGGACACATCACATCCCCAAAATAACGTGCCAAAATTTGATTCCACTTCCATTTCTTCATATGTAAGGTGCAAAAGTTAATTAAAAATGTTCATTGTGAAGTACGAGATGTGATTAGCCACTCAAACTTTTATCACTACAGTTTGTGATGTGGAAGGGAGAATGTTTATGGCAATGGAGATGTTCGGTAAGTTGCGAGTATGAACATTTTGTTGAGGTACATTTGGTGGCGATATGACCTTTCAGAGCATCCGCCTTAGGAATAAAGCGTGTGTACTGCAACCCTGCCAACTCTACCCTCACCTTCAGCTAAAGCTCACGAGTTAACGGCTTACGTGACTTTTGGCAAAGTTCAACGCAAACGCGGCATAAAATTTAAAGTGATGCGTGGCCTTTGAAATACACGGTACACCTGCGCTCCTTTTGTTTTATTCTTTTATTGGTTCAGCATACAAGTGATACCGTACAAGGCTCAACTGAGGAAATTTTCTTCTGTTTGGATTTAAAAAGTTAATACCGTTTTACTGTGGGAATCCTTCAAATGCTAACTCCAGTTAATTGCCAATTTTTTTTATTTTCGTAGACATCATGTAGGCAAAATTGCCTTAAACAACATCAATTTGATTCAAAATTTGTTAGGGATTCTCGCTTCTTGTCATATCAAAGCTGTCTTTGAAGATGCATTCTTATCTCAAAGAGAAACTGCATTTTGAAGTTTAGACTAAATCTCTTCCGAGTTTGCTCTATACCCTAGAGCAGAGGTTATTTGGATCGTGGACACATCCCAAAAATTCGGACTTACCTCTTGATGAATCGCAGTAATTTTTGAATTACCTGAAGAGGTCAAGGAAGGCGTCCAATGTGTGAGGACTGGTTTTTGAGGAGGTGGTGGTACTGACGTGGTTCTCTTTGATGGCCGGATTTCCTGGATGAATGGCGACCACAAGAACAATCCCCAAAATGACCGCCATCAAAGTAGTAGTAAAGTAGTATATCAATGCGTAGGTACCAATTTTGCCGCAGGATTTTGTGTCCAAATTTGCCAGACCTAAAATCCATTCACCCGGTCACTATGATATTCGGAGTGGATACGATTTCATAGAACCAAAAAACAATTTTGAATAAGCGCTACAAGTGCATATCAGTAATTGTCCATTAAAAACCTAAAAGAATATGAAAATATGTAATTTTGGGTCATTGTGAGGCACCGAATCCCATCGTTGCTCTCTCAGTTTTAACACTAAAATTTTAGAAAGTACATTGACATTTCTTATCATTAAACCCAAAAATTACGACTACCTACTTCTAACCTATAGTTAGTTATTCTTCTGCATTTTTTTTCATAGTAAAGTGGACAGATCTATGAACTTGTACTAGCCAAAGTGTGTTCAACATTTAGGTCGCCTTTGCAAACAGTTCATTAAGGTTACATCGGTATCGGAGACCGAAACACATTTTTTGTCCAAAAACGGCTAAATATCCTATCTCAATTTTGCTAAAAATGGGGCGCAATGAACGGCCTTGTGAGATGTTTAGATTTTGACATTTTTTTAGCTTTGGCCGGAGGTCGCATTGGGTCGCTGTTATTGTGGCCTTGCCAACCAGAGTTGCACTCCTTGCTCCTTTTGTATTTTGAACAAATGTAGTCTATCTGAGCATTTTGCTAACAATTAGTCTCAATGGGGTCTTGAAGTACTGCATTAGCAACAACCTTTACTAAGTCAGAAATCAAAGAGCACTTTCCGACATTCAACTGCTAGACGACAAATCTTAGTCAGATGGAAAAAAAGAGAATTTATTTTCGACACTCGAATGCCAAGAGATACTTAAAAGGACTAATATAAACTGCAGTACTGTGTTCTGCATGCAAAACATTAACGGTAAAGTAATACTGGCTCAAATCGTATGGATAAGTTCGCAACTAAATTGTCTATCAAGCCTACACGGAAATATTGAATAAGTAATTGAGTGACATCCCTTCTACCACCTAGATAGAACTCAGGTAGACATTGCTGGATGGTGTCTAAGCAGTGACAAAGTGGCAAGGAGGGATTTATAGCATTTCTACATATACTCATGTACACCTGTGATGGGCAGCAGAAATTGGCTCTCCTCATTTAGATTCTCAAGTCACTGATAAAATACCTTAGTGAAATTAAGATCAGGTATCCCCCTCCCCCCCCCC